CTCTCAACTTTTATGCATTCCACTTTTTGAGATTTTACATATGAGTGAAATCATGAAGTACTTGTCTTTTTGTGTCTGGCTTATTTCACTAAATGCATCAATCTCCAGTTTCTTCCAGGTTGTTGCCAAAGACAGCAATTTATTCTTTTTCAGAATCAAATAATATTCCATTGTGTATATGTATCACATTTTCTTTATCCATTAATCAGTTGACGGACACTTAGGTTGTATCGATTTCTTTACTGTTTTCAGTGGTGCTGGAAGGGACATGGAATTGCAGATGTTTCTTCAACATTTCTATCTATTTTCTAATATTGTTCCTCTACTTTGTCAAAGTTTTCAAAGAAGTTGGATTTTATCTAAAGATTGTGGTATTTGTATTGAAGTCTGAATAACTATAACATGATTTTAAAATGTTAAAACACTCAGATATCAATAAAACTGCTTAGAAAAATCTACAATGAAGATGATGCAATTGTGACTATTATAGGTTTGTTACTCAAGCTAAGGTAAATAAGGAACATTTTCTATTTCCTTTACAAATCAAAATATTTTAACTGTATCACTTTATTTGGAAATTTTGATGCTTTTTATTTTAGCATTTGTAGTAATGACATCATTATTAGCTTGCCATTTGTTTGTAGAGATAATTTAGAACCAATAAATTGTTATTGAAAATCAAGTCATGGCTCTTGAAATGGTATCATTCATGACTATATAAATAAAATGTCTGAAACTTTATATCCCAGGGTAAATATTCTATCACATTGTAGAATTAGTAGCCATATATTATAATTTCCAAGAAGCAATTTGAATGTTGCTATTAGAATACATTTTAATTATCATGGTCAAAAAATAGGTTTTTAGTAGAACAAGAATTTATTGATCTTGGGTAAGTAACTAATTTATTTAAAAATAGTTCTTCATCTCAAAAAAATGTTAAAGATTAAATAAGTTATATGTAAAAATTATGTAAAAGACATTTATTCATATCTTGTATATTTGGACAGTAAAGACAGATATGAGCTTAATTATACTAGGTTTTACTGTTAATTTTTTTACAAAGTAAAAATAATCCCCTTGTGCTCAATATTAACTGAATTCATGACTACTTAATTAGGCTCTGCAGTAAATTTCTTCATTGCATTTGCTCATTATGTTAGGAGAACGAATGAAATGTTTATTGGTATGTTAGCACTTAAATATCCATAAGATGCCTATATAAATTAAATCTGGTGCACAAACATGCATTCCTAAACAAAATTCTCCTATATTTTTTCTAGACAATCCCAAAGAGACAACTCGTGTAGCTGTTTTTGTGAGAATTTTGGATGTTAATGACAATGCCCCACAATTTGCTGTGTTCTATGACACTTTTGTATGTGAAAATGCCAGACCAGGACAGGTGAGCAACTGGAAGATTGAAAACACAGG